AAATTCCGAAAATTAATTATTGTACCAATATATACTTTCTCGGAATATGCTGTTTACTGACCTATATCAACGAATCTGGACTATTAATTTACCCACTCAATCCAGATACATTATATAGGTCAGTGACCAGCTTTCTTCTCGAACCCATGTGTCTTGAAATATTTTGTTCTTTTACAGTCAGCAAAAATATTTCTTTTTAAATGGTCATTTTTATTGCACAACGACGCTTTATTTCAGACGTACTTTACTGCTCTCGACTAAACCTATTTCACTTGCTATGAGGTTAAAACGACAGTCTAAAGGTATCTCGCCTTCCGCCAAAAGATTGAAGACTATAAAGGCACCGGTTTCGTTTGAAAATGGGGGAAAATCTTCTGAGGGCGAAATAGTAAGGGATAACTCGTCTGAATGCTCTACAGACTCTCTACGTAGTACGTGTGATAGTTTGGCTAGCGAAATTGAAGCTGAAACAGCAGCAAAGCTAACACAATGTTTATCTTTGGACTGTGAGATGGTCGGTGTTGGTATTTATCGTTCTTCTGCACTGGCCAGATGCAGTGTGGTCAATTATAACGGTGACGTAGTCTGTGACGTATATGTCAAGCCTGAACAGCCTGTGACTGATTATCGTACAAAGTGGAGCGGCATCCGCAAAGGAGATCTAAACGATGGCTGCACTTTTCAGGAAGCGAGAACACAAGTGCGACAGATCATAACAGGTCATACATTAGTTGGTCATTCTCTACATTCAGATCTCCATGCGTTAAACTTATCACACCCTCGGCATCTAATGCGGGATACGTCTAAGTACTGTCCAATTAGAGGCCTCGCAGGCTTGCAACGTAATATGACACCATCGTTAAAAGATTTAACAAGTATATTGTTAAGTCGTACGATTCAGGATGGTGAACATTGCTCGGTCGAAGATGCTCGGGCAGCGATGTCGTTATATCAACTCTGTGAACAACAGTGGGAGAAAGAGCTACGAGGTGAACTGAGCAACCAATCGTATCTCTCGGATCTGTATTGGCCTTCTTGGACCAGAACAGGGAACCCCAGTTAGGTTTTGAGTGGAATAATGTGAAAATCAATACATCATGAATGATTATGAAAGTATTTGGAGACAGTTGTATGAAATCCTGATAGCTCTATCTGCTGGGTAAAGCTGTAAAACTATAGATTTAAACCCTACAATTTGTATGAAAATATATTTGATAAATACAAAACTTTAGTTGGTTGGTTTGAGAGAAATACAACTACCGGGAAAATATAAGCAGAACTTCAACATTTCGTATGAAGACCCTTTGTCTTCCCAACTGCCCAACTGTTTAATTATTAAAGTACACAACACCAACACAATAAAAAAAGTCTACTGATTTCCTGAAAAAGGGCTTTCGAAACATTAAAGTTGTGCTTATATTATTCAGGTAGTTAATTTTACAAAGTTTGAAAAAATCACCAGTGCATAGTGTTGTACTGCCTGTGACATTTATGTTTGAATTAAAATTGTATGTCTAAAAATCTTGTGTTTATTATTGAATCATGCCATGTTACTAGGCATAAAACTAATTTATTAAGAATGACAAATTTTGTAATAATTTGAAGTTTCTATCATTTTTATGTGATCAATAAAGTTGTGTCAGCATGTGCAAACTGTGTTCGTTTTATAGTAGTTTTAATTATTAACAATGAAAGCACATGGAGGTTTTTACCCCCCCCCCCTCCAGTGCCCCCCCCCCTAGTAATAATAATATTAATAATATGTCTTTATTCATCAGATAAAAAAATACATATCAGATGTTACAAAAATTCTATACTATTGTCTATACAGCTATGAAGTTATACTTAAATCCTCTGACTTAAACCTTTAAGTGGCAAAATGCCCAAATGCACCCTATTTTATTGTTTTACTCTGTCTAAACACCAGACGATTTTACTCTGTCTAATGCCAGACGATTTTACCTGTCAGGGGGAGAGTGCTGCCACTCAATAGATTAAAAATATATATTAATCTATTAATTAAAGAAGTTATTCTTATTTCCGAGGCGCACAGATGTGTACGTTGGAAAAAGGGTCATATAATGGTAGTTTTGTCTCTACTACATTTGTTAAAATGTTGACGACCCCCAAATATGAGCCCCCTCTCTATAAAATACACCCCCTCCTAAATAATAAGCCCCTTTGTGTAGCCTTCCTCCCTATGCAACCACGTATTAGAAATTTATATACGTTTTATTTTAGAGTGTTTAATAGCGGATTTACTATTTAGGTATTTATTGTAAGGATTTATTTGAAAAACTTCCTGGAAATTCAGAAATTGGAATCCCCCCCATTGAGAAATCCCCAGTCCTGGTATGTCGCTGACGATACAAAAAAACAATACTCATAAATGAAAGTACAGAAATGATTATTTGAGCAAGCTTTTCTAGGCTTTTTCCTGTACATTTTTCATAAAGTTTTAGTTCAATTTTTGTACAAAGAAAAAAATTTTTTCAGTCGAAGAACGTTTCCGGCGCCCGCGAAATTTAACCACAGTACCACGTGATGTGTATTGGCCAATGAGAAGGCAATATGGCCAAGGCGCTCATCTTGCGAAGTAATGATCATTTCACACATGTATGTAGAAAGAACGAAAAATTTCATTGAAACTCGTTGAAAAGAAAGCTTTAAGATCGCAGCTGACGGCCAGAAACCGTTCCTAGATCTGCTGCGATTATTTGATCGCATAATGGTGGATCAGCCGAACCATAAATCGTACAAAATACGCGGTCATTCTCGACAACGAAGAAGCTCAAAACCGTATTCCAGGCCTAGCGAACCGAAAAATAAGGTGATATGCGAACTCTCTCGAATCTTATCTTGATATATGATTTAGATATTTAGTACGGGGAAAGTTTAAAATATCTAAACCATGTTAGTTTTGTATTTATGCGAGTTCTTTCTATTTGTTTAGGGTTTGCTTGATAAAGTAAAGGATTATTTAAGTCCGTCTTGGCTGTTCGGATATTTTACACAGAATGAAGACGATTTTGAAGCATCTAACTTTGAAGATGATGTCTCAGATCAGAATGCTGTAGTCACACACGAAGAAGGAAGTACTTCTAGTTCGTATGTCCCAAATCAAGGTCGTTTAGCTAGCCTTGGGGAAGAAAATGACGATGAAACATTAGCTAGTTTAGAACTGAACAATGATAGTATATCAGCAGATACGACCGATAAGGCACAGGTATTTGATGAAAATAATGGCAAGCAAGACACAGTGGAAATTGCTGACTCATCAATCAGGCTGTCTGGATGTCTTAACGATGACATTGAAGTAAGTATCGAGGGTCGTTGATGAGTAAATGTTGTTCGTGGATGCCGTACAGGCAAGCAAAGCTTTCCTAGACAAGTTTCATTTGCTTGTGTGTACGTCAAGGAAAATGCTGTCAAAGAAAATTTGACAAGAAATACTTCTGTGCAGGTTTTGTCAAACAAAAGTCGGCCTTGACGTGCGATAAATGTTAAGAAAGACTGCGTGCACACAAGCAACAAAGCTTGTCAACAGAAACTTGTTGACCGCACACATGAGAAAGTAAAGCCCTGGGCAAACTAGGAAACATTGTTTCCTGCCAATGTTTCGCCATGTTTCCCAGAGTGGGCAAACACTAGGAAACATTAGTGAGAAACATAGGGAAACATCAGATGTTTCTGAATTTGCTAGGAAACATTTTTGCTTCCCAGGAAGCAAGTTTTGTTTCCGCAACAATGTTTCCACGGGTCCGGCAAACAGGGAAACATTCGAGGAAGCATTGAGAATCACAAATGTTTCCGCAACAATGTTTCCTGGTTTGCCCAAGGCTTAAACTTGTCAAGGCAAACCTGTCGAACTGTAAACTGCAAACCTGTCGTACTGTCGAACAGTACGGTACTTAAGAGTCTGCAGTTACAAACTAACTTGTTAATGCCACACACATGTTTACACTTGCAATTTTTGCTGCGACTTCTGGTGCGATTTTCGTCTTCTGATGCATGTGAACGAGGAGTTATGAATGTTGTGAGTATGTGTACTTCATGTGAACATTCATTAGTCATCCACTCGTTCACATCCAACCAAAAATCTCACCTCAAGTTGCAGCCAAAAATTGTAAACATGCCTTTAGATTGAGATCTAATGTGGAGCAGCTGCTGACTGAAACCAAGTATGGAATTAACAAAAAGCAGTTGCTGACAATAACACATTTATGCCATTATCATACATAGTGCGTACCAGGCTACAGGCATCAATAAAATGTGCGAGCGTCGCTCCCTAGCACCTTTTGAATTTTCGTGGACACATTTTAAAATACTGACATTTTCACAATAGTTAGATCACAATAGTTAGATCACAAAATCTAAATAAGATGTGTTTTTGCAGGCACATTTTGAATTTTGCTTGAAGGCACGAAAAATGTTAATGAGGCCTGCCAGGCTAGCCTTTTTCAACACATCTTTTAATATTTTTTGTAGGACGAAAATGAAAGGCAAATAGTGGAACAAACGGACAGACCACACCAGTCTGTTTCGTCTTATTCATCTGACCAACTTACTAGAAAGCCTTTACCATCGTTACTGCATTCTCGCTCCTCATCTAGCTCGTTATTACTACAACGAGGAACACCCAGTCTTCGTTCTCAAGGAAATCCGTTGCTGGGGTCGATGTCAGCTCGAAGTAATTTGTACACTCCGAGCGTTAAATTGTCAACACCAATGACAACAAATCGTGCAAGTTTTTCAAGCACACAAAAGCCAAGTTCCAGTCTAACAAGGCCATTATCAACAAGGAATTCATCTCTGAAGGACAATAACTTGACTCAAGGTGAAACATCCACAGTTGATGCTACGCCGAGATTTAATACTTCGGCAACAAGTTTGGCTGGAACAACTCAGCCCATTCCTACTGGGAGTTCTGCTCCGTTATTCTCCGTGGAGAAATTTGTTACTCCTGTGGTTAGTATCTTTCTATTTCAGAACTTCAGAAATATGAAAAGATAGTTTTATATTATTCTGACGCTGCAGAGAACATCAACAGTTCGGATATCTAGACTCCCACTCTACCCATTGATCTATCGAGTCAACAAGGATTGGTAACAAGTCTTATCCAATTCAAATACACAAAACATCTTTGCAATGACTTAACCTTTGTCTTGGAGGACGTGTAAGTCATTGAGTGCCAGTGCTCTGTCCTTGACAAGTAAAATAATCTGACATTAGACAGAGTAAAATAATGAAGTATTGAGGCACAATGCAACTCAATGGGTTAACTCGGTGCTGCAAATAAATATTTGACTTGACAGGACATTTGTCCGATCACTTTTAATTTTGGTCGGACATAACTTGAATTTGGTCGGACAAAAACCAACATCACTAAATTTGGTCGAACATATATACGTCACAGGATATATATATAAGTCACGAGACAAGTATGTATAGCCATTCCGGCGCAACGTTAGGCCAAAAAAAAAATATGTGGGTTTCCGGTTTCTTCTTGTAAAAACTTAGGTAGGGTAGGTCGGTTTTAACTTTTTTTTTTAAACTTTTTTTTTAATTTTCCGAATAAGCGGACGCCATTTTGTTTAGTCAGTGCTTCCACATCCAAAGATAAATTTCCCTAATATTGCCTCAAATTTCAATTTTCCACAAACTTTTTCCTCTAAGTGGAAACACTTACAAGCATAATCCAATAAAAAAGTTTAGGGTCGGGATTTCGACGTCCAAAAGCTAGGTAGGGTCGGGAAACCGGAAACCCACATATTTTTTTTTTTGGCCTTAGGTAAAATGCTAGAATGCCTTATTACGGATTTTGTCACAGCAAAAAAATGTATAATGTGACAATTTTTTGTGATTGGACCAGTGTCCGATCAAAAGTACTTTTGCTCGGACATTTGCCAAATTTAGTCGGACATTGTTCGATGTCTGACAGTAATTTGCAGTCCTGTTAACTAATAGTCTGATTAACCCATTGAGGGTGAGCACTCTTTCTTCGAAGAGTAAAATCATCTGGTGTTAGACAGAGTAAATCATTCGAGTGGGGCTCAATGCAACTCAATGGACTAGACACCTGAAGATGCAAGTTTAACGAATATTTTCCTTTTCCTCTGCAGTCTCAGAATAATACGAAACTTCTTATCTTAGAAATGTTATTAAACACTATTGATTAATTAATGCAAATGTTCCTGTGTAGCAAAGAACATTTACAAACAAACGTGTGGGTTCACCAAGCTATCCAGGGCCAGTGATGTTTGGAGGAGCGCTGAATGTGTCACGGGATGTGCCATCCAAACGACGAAGGATGAGTTCCCCTGGCTCTGAGGTATTGTTTCAGTGACGTTATTGTAGCAAATGTGTATATTTTGAAAAAGTATTCATTTTATTTACTTTTATTTGAAGCATTTTTGTTTTTTGTTAAATTAACACCAGTGTTTTCTGGTAATTTTTATTTAGAGCCATCATCCTGTTTCAAAACTTCGTGTCAGAGGAGTGAAAGAAAAAACAATTCAACGTATGTCTTGTTTGCTTGTACAAACTTTGAAATTTTATTTTTTTGTAGAAGTTTAGACCTTTATGGTGCAACACTCTTGATGAGTAAAATCGATCATCTCAAGTTAGACAGAGTAGAATAATAAAGTGGGGTGCATTTGGGTGCATTATCACATTCCCCTTGTTGAAGAGTAAAACCATCTTGTGTTAGACAGAGTAAAATACTGAAATCGAGTGCATTTTGGTGCACTGCTTCTTAATGAGTTAAAAATGTTTTATAAATGGTTTGCAGACTCAACTCTTGGTGGAACAGGTACAAGAACAGCACAACGGATTCTTGATGCCTTGGAGTCAGTCTCATCTCCACTCAAGGTATTTTAGTGCAAAATCAAAAGGTATTTTAGTGCAAAATCAAAAGGTATTTTAGTGCAAAATCAAAAGGTATTTTAGTGCAAAATGCCAGAACTCCCTTTACAAATGGCAGAAATGCCAGAACTCCCTTTTCAAATGCCAGAACTCTGTTTTCAAATGCCAGAACTCCTTTCCAAATGCCAGAACCCTGTTTTCAAATGCCAGAACACCCTTTTCAAATGCCAGAACTTGGTTTTCAAATGTCAGAACTCCCTTTTCAAATACCAGAACTCCCTTTTCAAATGCCAGAACTTGGTTTTCAAATGCCAGAACACCCTTTTCAAATGCCAGAACTTGGTTTTCAAATGCCAGAATCCCTTTTCAAATACCAGAACTCCCTTTTCAAATGCCAGAACTTGATTTTCAAATGCCAGAATCCCTTTTCAAATACCAGAACTCCCTTTTCAAATGCCAGAACTTGGTTTTCAAATGCCAGAATTCCCTTTTCAAAGCCTTTACAACACAGTTGTTCCTCAGTACCAAAAACCAATATTTTTAAAAGTGCAATATTGAATAACCAATCTTTAAAATATAACTATCGATATATTGCAACAGCCTACAGTAAGTACTAATTAATATTTTGTGTGTAGGATGTTCGTCGGATACCATCACCAATTTCATTGGCATCTGCATCACCATTATCTTTTATGGTATGTTTCCTTATTCATTGTTTGATAATATTCACATTGTACAAACCTGTGATTTGATGTTAAAAATTCTCCCCAGGCATCAAAGACTCGAACAACTCCACCAAAAACAAGAGTAGGTCCACGAGTTTCATATTTACAGGTAAATCAGACATGTACATCATAGTGTTTATCTTCGTATTTTAAGTCTGTGTAACTCTTTTCTTGTATTTTCTTACATTAAAGTTGTAAATATCACATATTCTAGATTTTTGACTGTGAATTTTATACATTTAAGAGGAGATTTTTTTTATGTTACGTAACATGTGCTCAAAACTAATGCGTATAATATACCACTTGAGGTTATAACTAAGTTCAAAATTTTTATTTTTCGATACGTTTCTCAATCTGCAAACAAACTTAAAAACTATGTTTAGTACTTTATCTGTAAAATAATACTAAAATGAAGAGATTTTAGATGGTACGCCAAAGAGAAAATGCTGTCTGAGGTTCAGTAAGTTTTGCTTATATTGCTGTAAACATGGTGTCAATTTTAAAGCATCATTGATAATTGTATTTTAATTGACATTTTTTATCTATTTTATGTTTCTCAACTGGCAGATGCATTTAAAAAGGTTGCTGACTCTATAAACTAGAGAATAAAGCTAAAACAAAGTAATTTTGAGAGGAACGCCAAAAAAGATTTTAGGTTTTGAACACTTTTCATTGCAAATACGTGACATTGAAAAAAATTGCCTCTTAATAAGCTTGATTCCTGCCAGAGGGACTGTAATTATTTGTGTATGTTATATTGTACGTGGGGAAAAATCAAATAATTTATTAATATCACATTGTGTTTAGGCCAAACTACTTGGTGACCCTCCTGTGTCATCATTACAAACTCCTGAAGTTGCAAAAGTTTCCTTTGTTGAAGATCCCACGTCCACAGAACCTCAGCCCAGTTCCCCTCCTACCTCCCCACCAAGCAAGAGTTCCAAACACCCTGTCAAAGATCAATCTTTGTAAGTTGTCTTCACACAGAGTGAAAGAGAAAGAAAAGTTTTCTGTAGTGATAAAATCATATGAATATCCTGGCATTAAAACTTTTTCTTCTTTTTAAAATAGTTTCAGTGGTCTGAAAGACACGGTTCTTAAGGTTTGTGAGAAATAAATTAACTAGCTTTACAAACGACGCCAGTTTATAGTTTCTGTAAACCACACATAAATCATGAGTATTTTCTAGTTATACATATATTATATATATTTTCAGTTCTAAAATGTTGTTTTTCGGCTGATGAGAAAGATCGTAACTCAATCTTTACAACCGTTACGACCATATGAAAAAACATGCTTAACTAATTCATGCTTCAGTTTTAGTGCACAAATTGCCCTGACTTTCAACAGCTTACAGTTGACCTCAAAGACGATTTGAAGTTTACCGTTTGCTGTCCATAAATGTCAATTTTGAGGTCTCTATTCAATGAAAAACGCTACAAAAAAGACATTCCTTTCAACGAGAAAGCTTTCATTTGATAGGGACGCAACTACGTGAAAAAATACGATGTTTAAAGCAAAGCGAAGATCATTCATTTCAATGTGAGATTTCTTTGTGTGAACTAAAGATACAGTTGTATGAAGTAAAGTGAATGTTTTTATTTATTGCAGAGTTCACTTCCTTCGTCTTTTGCCCCGAAATCTTTGCCGACATCGCTGTCGCCGATAGAAAACACGAGCAGATCATCGGGAAAGATGAGAGCAGCTTCTCGCAGTACAGCCATGCATTATAGTTCGAATAAAAATAATCCAGATGACGAGGTGAGCCTTCTTGTTTAAGATATTACAATCAACATACAAGATCCTCAAGGTTGCGCTGGACAGAGCGAGATATGCTGGGTATCTGGCTTAAATTATACTGTTGATATAAGGTAGATATTGTAATAATAAGATATTGTATCTTATTCAGGTTGTGAATCCGTTGCCTGAGATTCGCAGTGCAGTGCCACTGCCTCTCAATCCAGGGAAGAACATGTCTTTACCATTGTTTAATGCAAACAAAATAGCAGACGATGGTCCGAATATATCGCAGAGAAATTTCAACAAACAAAAGGTACAGTATATATATTAGTATTTACTGGAAATATTGACAGGCTTGAAAAAGGATGTGCTGCACTTTCAGAACAAGTTGTCAACAATGTTTGTTACAGCCTTGTTCCGTTGCAACATACCATCTGTTGCGTGATATCTAGTGCTTGGTTAAATACGCTAACATCGATTTTGGATTATAACGATTTGGTTTCTCTTTGAAAGGAATCGTCAGCAAAAGACAAGCAATTAACGGAGTCGCCTAAAAATGGCTTCATCTTTTCATCGCCTGCACCAAAATCCCAACGTTTCTCAGTGAAGGAGAGTTTGGAAATCGCTGATGATGAGGTTAATATGCTTTGAATTTTGCTTAAAAATTTCTACCAAAAAATAATTGTTGGTTTAATTAAGGTTTCTGAATGTTAGGAATTTCTTTGACCGTTTACTGTATTTCTCACTTAATCGAAAACGTAAATTTAATCTCCTTAATCTAATTCAATATTTTCCCTTTCACCTAGGTATCATTTTCATTCAGTGAACCAACTCCTGTTAGGAAGGTAAGATTGTAAGAACGGCATTCTCGTGTTTATAACCAGGTCTTTCGCCGTGCGACAGATGTAATGCGTTTCTAGTATAAATCTTCATTATTCTCGCTTTCCCCTGTTAACGGTAACAGCACTATTAAAATCAGTATTTTCATTCTAACATGAATTTATTTATTCCAGAGTTCTGGTGCTACAAAAGAAACCTTTAAGAATCCTCTATTGCAATCTCAGAAAACTTCAAACAGTTTTAAACCAGCAGTGAATCATTCACCGAACCAAAATATGAAATCTAATTCTCCGTTCAGCAAAAGCCCTCTGACAAACGACATAACCTTTGCTTCTGGAAAGAGTAAAGCTCAACCCGCTGATGCTCTTGGGAAACCCGAGCCGGCACAAACCAATGACTTTGCCCAGCGGTTTGCACCAGCTGCGGGTTCATGGGAATGTACGTCATGTATGATCAACAACGAGGCGAGCGCAGTGAAATGCGTTGCTTGTGAAACAGCTAAACCTTCTGCAGGAAAAACCCGTAATACCGGTAAAGACAAACAGGAAATACAGGAAATAAACTTGATAGCAAAATTTGCTGCACCCAAAGATTCCTGGGAATGCGAGACGTGTTTAGTCAGGAATAAAAGTGAGTCGAATAAATGCGTCGCGTGTGAAACGAAGAGACCTGCGGCTAGTTCAGACGATGATTTGAAACTTAAATTTGCAGCCCCTAGTGGCTCATGGGAATGCCCAACGTGTATGGTTCAGAATAAAGCCGCTGACCTAAAGTGTGTTGCATGTGAGACGCGTAAGCCTGGGTCGAGTTCTAACGATGATTTGAGACTGAAGTTTGCAGCCCCAAGTGGTTCATGGGAATGTCAGACGTGTATGGTACAGAATAAAGCTGGCGACTTAAAGTGTGCCGCGTGTCAGACGAGCAAACCTGGGGCCGAGAGTGCAGGTGAGTTATCGTACTTTATCGTCTTAAGGAGGCTCCCTACAGTTTCTAATATATATCAGTGTTTTCAACTAAAAGCTCTTCAAAAGGTTATAGGATGAAAAATACAGTATAAGCCTTTGTTTCCTCGTATATCAAAGAGTAATTCCAACATACAATGGTTACTCTTGACATTACTATGGCAACGTGGCGTAACCATTTATCTCGCCTATATATCAGCCAAAAGATCCATCATAGTGGAAAAATAAGAACGGTGACCTAGCTTTTTTATTGCAGAAACTACATTAATATGACGTTCTGAATCATTTCACAAAGTTTTTTTGTGAAAATAAATTTGGCCTTTAAACGTTAAACTGTGTTTATAATCTCTCAAGGTTCAACTCAATCTGGTTCCACCTTGAACCAAACAAGCGTTACCACAAGCGGCTTTACATTTGGGGGAAATGATGCTTCTAAAACTACTACAAGCTCTGGGTTTACGTTTGGCAACAGCAACAACACCGACAAAACTTCTGACCCGGCAAAAACATCAGCATTCACCTTTGGACAGAGTTCTACCAAGTCAAGTACAGCGAACTTTTCTTTTGGCAACAACACAGCGACCACAACGGAAGCTAGTTCGACATTTGCAAGCACCAGTAGTGAGGGGAAACCTGCTTCGGGTTTTACTTTCGGAGGAAATTCAAGCGCGAAACTCACTACAACTCCGTCGTTTACTTTTGGGGCAACTTCAAACAAAGAGCAAAATAAACCTCCGTTTTCGTTCGGTGCAGACAACACATCGAGTCAAAATGGAGGTCAACAGAAAGAAGATAATAATGAGAAAGTGAACGAAAAGCCTTCAACTACACGTAAGTATGGCATGTTAAATTTTACACGATTGCAAGAATGGAGGTATAGGACAGATTTGATAGAAAACATCGTCTTGTAAGTCTGAGATGGGACCTTTATTTCGAGTATGAATGACTTTCTTTGCCATATATTTTCCCCTCAAACACTTTAGGTTAACTTAGCCTATTATTATTTTCAGCGACAATGAGTATAGCAGAAGCCGCGGCTGCTGGGTTATTGAAAGTTCCAGGTAAAGATAGCACGACAACTCAACCGCCGGCTCAAACAGTTGCAACAGAACCTGCAACTGCCCCAACGTTTACGTTTGGTGGGGCGGCCGCCCCTTCAGGAGGGCCTGGGGAGCAACAAGCTAGTACCAAGACATCTGGTCTGGGGTTCACCCCACTTGCCTCATCCCAGGTGAAGCCGTTTGCTTTTCAGACGTCAACAGCAACAACAACATCTACCAAAACCACAACAGGTGAATGATATTGTTTGATACATCGATTTTATCATTCTTAATTTTCGCTTGCAAATTTTGAACATGCTTCAACATTCCTTTGCAATTTCGATGAGGCAAGCCAGAATATTTATGAGATGAGATTTTAAAATTCTTTACCACTGGAAATCGTTAGCTGTTTAAACTAATTTTATGCGTATAGTTTTTAGAACAACAAGTAAATGCTAAAATACAAAACAATAGATACTCCGAAAATTGAAAGCATTTTGAAAATTTAATAAATAAATCCAATCACTGGTCGTTGATACTTTATCAAGAGTCTATTGCTATTAATAGAATGAAACCGTCCCTAAACCATGGAACTAAAACCTCTAAAGATCTATCATATTAATATTTAACTAATCGTATCTTGTTACTTCACTATATATACTTGTACATATTTAATATCATCATCATTCATTTCCTGATGATGACTATAGTTTAGTCGAAACGTCGAAATAAATTTTCAAAATGGTTCCCTTAATTTAAGTAAATACTATAAATGTTTGTTTGTATTTTAGGTGGTTTGTTCACATTTGGAGCTCAACAGCCAACAGTTTCCACCGTAACTTCATCCACTGCCAACCCAACTTCATTATTTTCGTTCACTGGCACAACTCCTGCTGTGCCTCCTGCTAACACCACAACAACATCTGCTGGTGTCAAGAACACACCATTCTCATTTACTCCCTCAAACACTGCTACAAGTCTGGCCAATGCTACAACAACAGTTCCAGGACTCGCCACAACCAACTCTGTCCCCTCCTTCAATTTTGCTGGATCAACTGGTGGTACTTTACCTTCTGCGAAAGCAACACTCGCATCAACTCAGAGTAATCCTGCTGGAATGTTTTCATTCTCAGGTTCTGCAGCATCTGACCAAGCTAAGTCAGCCGCCGTGTTTAATTTTGGTGCAGTAAATGGTCCTACATCAAGTAACGGCCCAAGTGTCAGCACTACTGGGCAGGCAGCAACTGGTTTGTTTTCGTTCATTGGAACCCAGGTAAAGATACCAAACATTACATCTCATTGTACTTTGTTAAACTGTTTGTCTTAGAGGACTAGAAGTCCAGCAAGGATCATATTGGTCTAACTATCCGTTATAAACCTTTCTCTCTAGAGGTCCAGTAAGAGTCATCTCGTATTGACCCAGTGTTACTACAGGAGGAAACCTAAACTAAACTAACTTAATTTATACTGGATAGCTCTATCAGTTCTAAACTGTTCTTCCTAGAGGTCCAGTAAGGATCATCTGGCCTTTTTAATTCAGTTTTAGTACAGGAGGAAACCTACTAAACTAAACTAACTTTGTCTATCAGTTCTAAAGTGTTCTCCCTGGCGGTCCAGAAGTTACCACAGAAGGAAATCAAAACTGAAGTAACTTTATTAGAGGGGGGAGGGTCAGGTTAATAGAAAATTTACGGTATATACATTAGACATTAAGTGTACAAAACACACGAGAAAGGCCTGTCAAAACTGTATTTTAACGAATGATGTTTTTGCAGCAGCCATCCACAACACCAGTTGTTGAGAATCAAAACTCAATGGGGGGCGAGGAGATGGACGCAGACTCGAACAATAATCACGATCAAAGCACTTTCCCCCAAGCCACTGGTGGATTTAACTTCACTGCACCTACAGCGGGTATGTACTGGCTGGATTTATAGTTGGCAGTCACGTGATCTTGGTTAGCTGTTCCTAATGCTTTCCCAACACTATCATGTTGTATTCTATTTAAGTTAAAACATAGTTGGAACATGACTTTTTTCTGTGTTAGTGTAATGTACTCAGGTGAATATGACGCTTGTGATGTTACTCTCAGTGTATATCCACACCGAGCAAGCTTGAAAAATATGCCTGGCCACTGTGGGAATTCCAAAGGTCGTAGGTTCGATTCCCACCGTGGCGAGGCATATTTTTCAAGCTTGCCCAGTGTGGAATATACACTCAGAGTAACAACACAAGCATCATAGTTGGAACACTTATCAAACGTTAATCTAGAGCTTGACATGTTCCCTGTGCCTGCCAACCCTCATCAACTCTCATCTTCGTTTAATCATGGTGTTTTCTTGTATTTTCAGGTAATATGTCAGGTTTATTTCCGGCTGGGGGAACCAGCGCTACAACTGGCGCAACCCCAGGAGGTTTTAATTTCAGTGCCAATACTGGCGTGACGTCAACGTTCCAGTTTGGGGGAAACTCCAGTACTCCTTCTGGAGGATTTAATTTTGGTGCAGCTGTACAAACCGCTGGCTCCTCTCCTTTTATGTTTGGCGGCGCATCTACCCCTGCCAGCGGTAATACAAGTAAGTACAAGGTTGAGACTGTGCCTATTACATCATGCATATTACCCGGACACGTGACATTTTATATGTGAAAAGAGTCGGTCAACGGGTACTCCGGTTTCCTCCCCCAGGGAATGTTGACAGGGTGGGTTGGGGTTAGCCCTGTAACTGACCCTTTCACCGTAGCTGTACTCCGTGATCAGACATGAGTCATAAGGTGGCTGCCAGAGGCGCCCTTAGAAAGCCTTCGACTGGATCAGGTTGAGCTGTGTCCTTCGTAATTCAGCTTAGCTCTCAGCTGCAAGTAAGGATGATTAGCACACCCCACTTCTTACATACGGATTGATAGGTTGTTTACCATTTACATGGAAAACCCGTCCGGTTTGAAATTGTGCTAATGGTAAGCAAAATTTCGGATAGAAAATCCCATTCGGATTATGTGCTTTCCATTTAATAATTTCAATTGTTAAATCGAGAAGAGCCTGGAACTGGTAAAAAAATAAAAAAGATGTAATTGGAACAACATTTACCGGTTGAAACGTTCCAATCGGTAAGAGAGGACAACCTTTTCAAACAAACCGTTCATTCCGGAAAAGTTCCGGTTGGGCCGTCGAAATATGCTTGTTCCATTTACTTTCCGTATGGAATCACCGGAATTTCCATGTAAATGGTAAACAACCATAGAAACCCTTCAAGTTACTAAAATGTCCTCTCGTATTTCTAGACCCAACAACAGCTTCATTCAACTTTGGGCCAACCTCCGCTGCTTCTAAACCTCAACTGAACGTTGGGCAAACCACTGACCAACCCGCTTTGTTCAACATGGGCGCAGCACAAACTACACCCAGGGTCTATCGAAAGGCCGTAAGACGTACCCGACGATAAATGATTGTGAAAATCTTGTTCAAAAACTGCTTTCTTTTAAAAGTGGTGAAGGTATAGGACGTATCTTCCGTTGTCAATAATGCGATGAATTTTATGTAAACAAAAAAGTTGTTTGAGGTCTGAAAAGAATATTTTAAAAATATTTTTGGTCTGAAAAAAAAAATTTTACTGAAAAAATATTTTCGGTAGTTTATAATACTTGCCTACACTTGGTTCCGCACGTTTGAGATATCATTGTAGATATCAATGCAATGGAGTTCGATTCCTACACCTATTTTTTGGTGCAATTATTTTTCAATCAGGGAATGAAGCACCAAAGTCCTGTCTTGATTTTGAATCGTATTTAAAGGAAGCTAGTTTTTGAACAAGAATATAAACATTGATTTACAAGACGAAACTGACGGTAACTCAAATGACGGCGACATTCCGAACTGAGACATGACTTTCTCCGAGAAGTGAAATTTCAAAAAATAAATACTTGGAGAAGTCACTGAACTTGAAAGACATCCGTTGAGAGAAACAACATGAGACCCGAACAAAAACTTCATTGGAAACAGCTCGAAGGTATAAATTCCGTGATTTTGATCGATATCTATATATGGCACGTGTTTCTATGAAGAGCACACATATTTGAAATTAGTTAATGTTCTACAAACCTACGCAATAATACGTTCTGGAAGTTTTTTAAGTAGCAGCGAAAATACACAACACAGCTCGCTTTGAGGAGGAATTGAGAAGGGGTTATGGTACAAGTGTAGCTGTTGAATTGTGTCTTTCGCCAACACGAAGTTAGAATAATTTAAAATATAGTCTATCGAAAGGGTGATTCGTACACAAATAAATTTCTTTTCGAAATCCTTGCTTTTGTCCTCGAAATATGGAGAACATACGAGCCTAGTAGGCATTTTATTTAAAATATTGTATGTAAAATTCCTATGCTGTGTTCAATGTATATAGACACTCACTCACTCAAGTCAAACCAATTCAAACTGGAGCTATTTTATTATGACGGGGTAAGGCTAAAAATTATGCAAAATATTTATTTTTATAATGTATATAGGGGGAATTTCGTATAAAATATAGTGGGTGGGGGGAGGGTATAACAGAATAGGATTTCTAGGGACAATGAATAAAATGGTAAGATTTTGAATTGGGTTGGTTTGGTGTTTCAAATTTGATGTATTCCTTGTACTGTAAATATAGTCTGGATAACCTATGTAGATTTCATTTTCTCAGCACGCCAATTAAAGTGTGATAACACCAAATATGATTTTTGGTATGTGTAATAGTTGGGTGATTTGAAGAAGAAATGTAATATATATTTTTAGTAAAAAAGTTTATCTTAATAGACTTTTTCACTCTCAAAGTTCCGGATATGACGTCCTAAAATTCCCCAAATGACATATTCGGCAGCTTCGAGAGCCGAAAAGTCAATCAAGACGAGTTTTTTTACTATAAAGATATATTACATTTCTTCTTAATCCAAATATTTCGTAGGCCAAAAATCATATTTGAGGTTAGTATAGCACTTTAACGTTTGTATCGTTATAGATAATTCACATGCCCAGTTACTATTCTAGTTTACAGAAGCATAAAATAGAACAAAAGGTAAAATGAATTATGTGTAAGAGTCATTCACTCTTGAACAGTACTGTAGATAATTCTAAAGCGAAGAATAGTAACTGAGCATGTGAGTTCTGTAAAGTTGAGAATTGCGTATAAACAAATGTTGGCAAAATTTGTCTATTAAATATAGTCTGAAAACTTCAATGGGAGTTTTTTCATCTTTTTGTTGAAAAGTAAAATTGATTATCTTTACGAAAAGTTAAGTACATGTTATTTACTTATTTAGACTTATTTCTTTGAAACAAACTTTTTATGTTTTCTTAGAAAATCTGCGATACTGAGTTCATTTTCATGAGAAAAATCTACTTTGTGTTGTGGGTGTGTTATGACAGGTTACCCAGACTATATCTATGCACCCTGTGTATCGGTGGGTGAAAAAATAACTACATCATTAAAAATTTACGTGTACTGGTTTTATGTGAAATAAAATCTAGGTTTACTGTTTCTTGTTGTATTGTGTCTGCAGGCCTGTCAAGGTGTTGGAATACACATGTAAAAAAAATCTCACAACTTGTCAACAAGATGTGTTTGCAACAGGCTTGTTAGCAAGCTTGTCAACAAGTTGTAACAATGCTGTTATTTTATCAAGTTGCTACAAGATTGTCACTCACAACTTGTTGACAAATTGTTGAATTGCAGGACGACAACAAGTTGGAACGTACAGCTTGTCAAGAAGACTACATTCGTCAATCTGCATATACGCTGACAAGAAGGCTAAATTACATGTGTGGATCAATTATTCAGTTTTACAGTACTTTGTTACTTTCAAAGAACAACCAAAATGAATTGAAGAGACATCGTTGACCGACGATGTTTGGACTCATTTGAACGAAATTTTAACAACGGTAATTCTGCAGCCCTGCTTTTTACTCTGACAGTATTGCATATTACAGTATAAATTTCAGGTTTTCTTGCCTGTGTACGCGTGCGTACCTTTGCGTACCTATTTTTTCACATTTGGAACACTTGTGTTTCCACTTTCCAGCATTGTTTCCAGATGTTTCTGGGAATTGATCAAAAATCAAAAATAAAATATTCGACCTTTGCATTTCTTTTTATTTTGTCGGAAATTATATTAAAGAGAATAGAAATTTACGTAATATATCATTATCCAGTAATATTTGATCCGATGCAGAACTAAGTACTCGAGCGGAATTTGATGTGACATGTCATTTTGTCTTTGTTTACAATCATTTTGTTAGATATTAAATTATTCTGTTGGTATATTTCGATACGGTGTAGTGATCAGCGAAGACACGGCTAGATATATGGACGTTTTCTGTTGAATCTTCAAAATAACTGGTATGTTTTGACGTTATTATGTGCAGTAAATCTTGCTGTCACTCTTGTACAGTGGCAATATATTTGCAATGTTGGTTCTCGATCATTTCTGCGAGGTTGTATCACAGGGTTGTATTTGATATTTTATACCTTTGATCATCACTCGTGCACTGATTTCAATGCTACTTTAACTTAAGATTTAATTAGGGCTTAAGTTTATGTCTAAAATATATAACTTAAAGTGGATATTGAATTCAAACTTGATTTCATATTGAAATAGTATGCAACTTGCTAACTTGTAAAGTATACTGTTAGGATATAATATGTGGTCATGGGACTGTTACAGAGTCACATGATTACTTATTTACAGGGCTGTATTTGAAATTTATAATATTTTCTTTGTATGAAATGTACAACACATCTATAACTCTGACTGGCATATTACATATAATAGTTCTTCAATAAAACTACTTTTGCTTAAATTTCATGCAAAATTTTCTTATTAAAAAGGCTTTGTGCATGGTTACGTTAACTACAAAGTAATTTGTTTCAGGCTATAGCAAACCAAGTTCAGTATGTCTGAAGAATTCAGTGGAGGGTACGGGAGTATCCGAGGTCAGTCTGGGGGTAACCAAGACGACAGAGGAGCATCTGGGGGATACCAGTCCGAAGGTAACTGTTTACCTCTCCTTGCAAAAACTTGCCCGACGTTGATGGAAATTAATTGCCTGATGTTATCATGGGTTCATTGCTAGATGATTTCAATATATATTTTCATGCTTATAATTTAGATTATGTGATATTTCAGTCACTGAGTGATACGATAAGTAGCAACATCTTTCAAATAAATAGCAATGGTGAGTGATAATTTATTCCTCTGCAAGTTTATGCATGTACAATGTATACATGTACAATGTACAATGTACAATGTACATGTATAATAGTTAATACTTGACAACTAACAACTGGCCTCTGTAGCTCAGTTGGTTAGAGTGCTGCACCAGATGCGCAGTTTTGATATATTGCCAGATGGCCTATAGTTGCATTTTTTGCAGCTACCCCAGAGGTTCCAGGTCTAAAAATCTGTATAATTTCACTTGAAATTTTCATGTAAAAACCTGTCAGCATTTCGTTGTAATCCAGTGAGGTGCCCAAAATTCTGATTGTTTTTCCTAATTTTTTTTATGTTATATAGTACAAGCATTGGAAAGAATCTGTAAACAGCTTGGAAATCAACTTACCGAAGTACCTTATGATAAACTGTATGATTGTCTATTTTTTAACCCCTGCTTATGTTTCAAATGATTTTCAGTGATTTGACCAAGCTTTCTTTCCAGACACCGCATACAGCAAGGCACAAATAAATTGGCCTCTGATACAACTGTCTGTCTTAAACGAATGATAAACTTACAAGGAAGCAGCGTTTCAGAAAAGGTATAGTAAGTCACATCTTGGTTTTTTGCTTTTAAAACAAATGGTTTTATACCAAGCATGTAGTCGTAGATTTTGCTGTAAAGCATTATCGTGCAGCAGATGATGGTCGACTTACAGTTATCAGAGTGAGAAAATAATATTAATTTTTTCCATTAAATATGGTAAAATATAAATAATTTGTATGAATTTAGCAAGTAATTCTTGAAGACTAAACTGCTAAGTTTAAATACTGCAGAGGAAACAAAGGCTTCAACAAGAAAGATTAAAAGATGAATTTGAAAATTCAATTTCAAAATACAGAAATATTCAAAAGGTTGGTTTGTTGTTGCAAAGTATTGTCAGTGGTAGCTTCTACTAATATCTGAGTGTTTTCTTGTTTTATGTTTTCATTCTTTTTGTGAGTCATTTCTGTTGCCGTAGTTGTTATTGTTGTTATAGTTGTCCCGTTGTTGCTACTATTGGTGGTGGAGTTGTTGCTGTTGCTGTTGTTGCTGTACTGTTACTATTGCTGTTGTGGTGGTGGTTTTGTTGGTGTTGTTGGTGTTTTGATATTGTTGTTGTTGCTGCTGCTGTTGCTGCTGTTGTTGTTGTTGTTGCTGTTGCTGTTGCTGTTGTCATTGTTGGTGGTTGTTGTTTGTTTTTGGTTGTTGTTTGCTGTTGTTTGTTATTGTTATTGTTGTTGTTGCTGTTGCTGTTGTTGTTGTTGTTGTTGTTGCTGTTGCTGTTGTTGTTGTTACTGTTGTCGTTGTTGGTGGTGGTTGTGTTGGTGGTTGTTGTTTGCTGTTGTTAGTTATTGTTGTTGGTTGTTTGTTATTGTTATTGTTGTTGGTTGTTGTTTGCTGTTGTTTGTTGTTGTTATTGGTTGTTGTTTGCTGTTGTTTGTTATTGTTGTTGGTTGTTTGTTATTGTTGTTGTTGTTGTTGTGGTTGTTTTTCATTGTTGTTTGTTATTGTTGTTGTTATTGTTGTTGGTTGTTGTTTGCTGTTGTTTGTTATTGTTGTTGGTTGTTTGTTATTGTTGTTGTTGTGGTTGTTTTTCATTGTTTTTGTTATTGTTGTTGTTGTGGTTGTTTTTCATTGTGATTGTTGCGGTCGTTTGTTGTTTGTCTTTGTGCTGTTGTTGTCGGTGGAGTCGTAGCCTGCGAACAGGCTCTCAAGCTGAATTGAGAGCCTGCATCGATGACTAATGAATTTGAATATCTGCCCCGTAACGTTCGTTTTTCCAAATATGGAATGTCTATCCTTATATGGTGTTGTTTACAACTTTCGTGCAAACTAAATATAAGATATTCAAGCAAAAGTTCAAATGTTTTAAATACTGTTTTCTCAAAACAGAACATTTCGTGCTTTGAGAAAGATGACCAAGACCAATTTGATCAGTTAATGTGTTTTTTATGCATAGTGCTTCAGCAGTTGACATATATAGAGCTCAGCGGAAACATATAAATTATAGCATCTGACCAATGAGAATTTCGCGTCACGATTTGAGACGCAGACATTCAAATTCATTAGTCATCGATGCAGGCTCTCAATTCAGCTTGAGAGCCTGTTCGCAGGCTAGTGGAGTCGTTATCATTGTCGTCCTTGCAATCCGATTTAAAATTGTTCAATCCAGTCATGGCAGTCATGCGATGTCAGCATTAATTATGTTTTAGAAATTGTCAGAAAAAAGTAAACAAATGATGAATTCCACTGGGACAGTGAAGTTTACATCGCACAGAGGTGATCAAATTCCAGGATTTGACGATGGTGATGATAAGACTAGACTTTTGTCTGATGAACAGCAAAGGTGAAATAGCTGCACTGTGTGAAGAAAATACAACTATACGTGACAAATATAAGCAGGACTCATGTGCCAAGCGAGGCCCGTTGTCGGGATTGTTAGAAGCCATTTTTACACATTAGGTGGACTTAAAATAGTCATACCCACGAGGCAATATACAGAAGATAATAAGATATGTTGACGACTTTTTTCTGCACGACAATTAATGGGAATCCATAGCGTGCTACCATAAATAGTGGTTCTTGTATATAAGGGGATTTTTGTTCGGTCTGGGTATGGTTGCTAACAATTCAAATTAATTGAGCGTATTTTAATCTTTTTAGTCAACAACAGTTGGAAGATTCTGTTTCTCTTGATCAAAGTTTGTTGGAAGAAAGAGAAAGAATGACGAGACAATTAGAGGTGGAATAAATTTAAGAATTTTGGGCGTCCGACAAAACTATAATACAAAAACCGCATCTTCTAGAAGTGGAATTTGTTCTTTCTAATTTATAATCAAATCCAAAATCGTGTTTCGTTTTTCTTTTCGTAGTCGGATATTCTAGACGTGAATGAAATATTTCGGGACCTTGCTTCAATCGTACACGATCAGGGAGAGGTTGTTGGTGAGATTTTTCCTACAATTATTTTCGTACGGTTATTTTCACATATCTCAGATTATAGTCTGTGGAACCATCTCCAGTTTTTGTTTTTTGTTTTAGATTCAATCGAAGGTCATGTGATCAGAGCACATGATGACGTTGAAAATGCAAACGAACAATTACAGAAAGCCAGTGTATATAGGGTAAGATATATGATAGCCTTAGGGTGATTAAGACAGTATACATAAAGCAATAAAGTCAGTTTAGTTTAGGTTTCCTCCTGTAGTAACACTGGATCAATAAGAGATGATCCTTACTGGACCTCTAGGAAGAACAGTTTAGAACTGATAGAGCTATCCAGTATAAATAAAGTTAGTTTAGTTTAGGTTTCCTCCTGTAGTAACACTGGATCAATATAAATGATGGTCTTCTAGGAAGAACACTGATTATAGTCGGATATTATCAGTGAATTTGCAGTTCAAAAGGTCATTCCATTTAATTTTTTTTATTTCAGAGAAAGGCAAGGAAGAAAAAATGCTGCCTTTTATTAATATTATTAATCATCCTAGCGATAATAGCCATAATTATTTACATTAAGACGAAGAATTAAAACACTTATAATCTTGTATATTTTCTATAAAATGTTAGTTGTAAAACAATGCTTTCATTCTTTTGATTTAAAGTTGAATACGATTCTTCAAGCATCTTTGACTGTCTTCAGTAACATTCAGTGTCCGTGATATTCAGGTGAAATAAACGTACATAAATTACCCAAACTTTCGCATTAGATTTTCCTTCAAGTACTGAGATGTTTTTGATGTTTTCTAAGAAAGCTTCGAATTGATAGAGATGATTTTTCAGGTAGATGCATCCCTATCAATCCAAAGCTTTCTTTTAGTGTAAAGTTTAACATACGATTATTTTAGTGTAAAGTTTATTTTAAAAAGCACTCGGAAAGCTCGTTTCGGCAACAAACTTTTCCGTTTCGTGGTTGACTTACATGAAGTTTCCTGGGAGAGGAGAAGCGAAGGTTGATACTTCATGTAATTTGATATTTTTTCAAGAAGAAAAGAGCAGAAAATTTGAAACACGTTTTGACGAAGAAAACTTAAATACGAAATAAAGCAAGAAAGTAAACTCTATAAGCTCAACTGAAGATTGCTGTTAAAAGCTGAAGACAGTATGTTGACAGTTGTTGAAGAATGGTCGAATTGTTTGGGAAAGTTCTCCAGATATAAAGACTTTAATACACACCAAGACATGCGGACGGCAAAATGGGGGTGAGATCTATTGTTTTAATTTCTATTGTTTTCTGTGCTTTCTTTATATATAAGCTATAAAATTTACACAAATTTTAACCACTCCATCAAACTAAAAAGATACACAAGAGAATGCTGATATTACAAGTAAAAAATCTAATTGAATAAACTTTGAATGGTCTTGGGAACAACAAATTTTTATGCAACAAATTCATAGTGGAAGACAAGTTTCTGGCTAAGATGGGAGACTTGTTTGACGGCTTTCCATCCGGCAATAATATGGAACGATAATCCTTGGACAATAAAACCCTCCAAACCATTGATTTGACTATGGTTTAAGCTTGGTTTAAGTTTCCATTATGAATTAATTATGTGGCTATTCGTACTGGAGTATGGCAACTGTTCTCACATTTCTTAAATTAGTAATATAAAATAGTCTTTTTGCAACAGCTTTCAGCGAGCTTGCCGCTAGCGTATTCGGCAAAGGCATTGCATGCGTGCGAACTGAAATCAGGTCCTGTTTAGTTTTAGCCAATGGTTTTCTGTTTGCAGACTTAGAAATTTAAAAAATATTTTTTTCCCAACTTTTTTTAACTCTCAAATTGTTTATTAGGGGTTGGGATCTGTTTATCTTAACCAGGTGATCTCGTGTTCGTATTTTAGGCAATCAGCGCTCAGGAAGGGTTGTCCGAATAGAAATCCATTTTGATGTATTCAGTCAATTATATCTTTCGTTATTCTTTATGAAACTAGTTGAAATTTTGTAATTATGTTTAGTTATGAGAACTATAGCTCTGACAAAAATATGGAATCGAAATAAAGTATATTACAGGAGATATTCAGTTGTTTTAATCATAAAATGGATTTCTATTTGACAACTAGTGCCAGTACTTTTCCGCATATCAAGATCATCTGGAAATATTCCAACTGCAGTACAAATAGCAAATCAAACTCTGCATACTGTTCCAGTAGGAATAGCTACTTTGAATTAAGCATTAATTAACATACTTAATTAGTAATTAATATAGTACTTGTTTAACGTTTTAATCTACAGCAACCCCTGATGCATGATGGAGCGCAAACAGCCGGGCAATTACCTGGGCATGTTGTCTGTTTTGAATGACGATTGTTTTTATATCTGTGATGTTTTAACTTGTGTCTTTGGTGATTGCGTCCATATTTTGGGATGAAATTTGGTGAATAATTATTATATTTTTGCAACCGTGGTCGAAGGAATGTTGGGGGATTATAGTTGAAGAACTTTTGTTGTTGTTGTTGATATTGTTGTTGCTGTTGTTGCATTTGATATTGCTGGATTTGTTGTTGTTTTTGTTGCCATTGTACACGTTGTTGTTGTGGTTGTTGTTGTTGTCTTTGCTGTTGCAATTGTTGTTGTTGTTGTTGTTGTTGTTGTTGCTGTTGTTGCATAGCTTGTTTTTGCTGTTGTTGTTTTTCTTGTTGCATAGCTTGTTGTTGCGGCGAATTTTGCAATTGTTGTTGTGGTCGTTGTTGTTGTCTTTTCTGTTGCAATTGTTGTTGTTGTTGTTGCATAGCTTGTGGTTGTTGTTGTTTTTGTTGTTGCACAGCTTCTTGTTGTTGCAGCTTAGTTTGCAATTGTTGTTGTGGTTGTTGTTGTCTTTGCTGTTGCAATTGTTGTTGTTTTTGCATAGCTTGTTTTGTGGTTGTTGTTGTTTTTGTTGTTGCACAGCTTCTTGTTGTTGCAGCTTAGTTTGCAATTGTTGTTGTGGTTGTTGTTGTCTTTGCTGTTGCAATTGTTGTTGTTTTTGCATAGCTTGTTGTTGTTGTTGCAGCTTAGTTTGCAATTGTGTTGTTGTTGTTTTTGCAGCATAGTTTGCAATTGTTGTTGTTGTTGTGGTCGTTGTTGTTGTCTTTTCTGTTGCAATTGTTGTTGTTGTTGTTGCATAGCTTGTTGTTGTTGTTGTTGCTGCACAGCTTGTTCTTGTTGTTGCAGCTTAGTTTGCAATTGTTGTTGTTGTTGATTGTTGTTGTTGTCTTTGCTGTTGCAATTGTTGTTGTTTTTGCATAGCTTGTTGTTGTTGTTTTTGCAGCATAGTTTGCAATTGTTGTTGTTGTTGTGGTCGTTGTTGTTGTTTTAAACGCAACCACTGTTGAGAATTGTGTTGTCTATAGTTGACTTTTGGTTGTGTAATATGTTGGTTATTGTAACCTGGTTGTCTTTGAACGTTTCCATACTGAAATTTATTCATTTCATCTTGCAATTCTTGGTACGCTGGTTCATGCATAGCAATCTTGTGTTGATAGTCCAGGGGAGAGAAGCTTCCTTTGTGAAGATAAGCTGTTTTTCCAGCAACGACTTTTCCAAAATAATTTGATGTTCCCAAACCATAACCATTTGGTCTGTACATTGAATTTTGATTACTTTGGCCCCATTTCAAGTTCCCAATGTTAGCGCCTTGTTTAGTCTGTCCAAAGAAAGGATTACTCCATGGCAAGCGAGGGATATGTTTAATAAGATGTTGAGGTGGTATGGCGTATTTTCGTTTTGTTGGAAAAGTATTACAACAGTAGACAGGACAATTGGGAGACGAACACGAGATTCTTGTATTTAAACAATTTGATGGACAGGAGTCGGGATCACCTATAAATAGGAATTGTTTACAACGAGTTAAAACCATCCTAAAGCCTGGTTGACACTATCAAAGTTTCTGTGATCACAGTAGGAATTTTGCAAAGGTAAATCCTAAGTTTTGAAGGATTTGTAAGAAATGTTTGAGGAAACTATCTCATCTGTGTTTAACAAGGTTGATGAGGCCAACAGACTCGCAACAAGTTGTTCCAACAAGTCTAAGAAGTTGTTAACAAGTTGATGACAACAAGTTCGTAGCAACTTGTTATGAACAACTTGTATTAGTCTTGTTGGAACAACTTGTAGCAAATCAGTAATAAGGTGATAACAACTTGTTCCAGACTTGTCACCACAACTGGGTACTAGCAGTGCGAACACATCCTGATGTCGGCTTGACAACATCCTTGTTACAACTTGTTTGTAGATCGACGTCCCTTGCAAAGGTGGAATATATTGATAAAAATAAAAATATTGTCTACTTACTTTCACTCACCATTTTGTAGTGAGACATGTTGTAAAAATATCTTCTCTCCTTGAACGAGACCATCTGACTCAAGTTTTGTGCGAAGTTTCTCCAGAGGGTCTGAGGGAGCGTCCCCATCCGGTGAGAATCTTAACTTGAACTCCGCGATCACTTTGTCATCTGGTGATTGACTGAACCAAATATAATGGGGAGACATTAGTAGAGCCGGTTACCTACCACAGAATAGGGGCGGGCACGACAGGGTTGTAGCCTTGAGGGGAATGGGAGGTCGCCCCCCACTTTTCTTCAGAACCAATTTTGTAATTTTTCCAAAACTGAGGAGAAACGTGGGGGGGGGGGGGCGTGAACTCTTAATGTTTTCATCTATGACATGAAATATTTGGGGCTGGCTACACTCCTAGGGCACGAAATATTTGCCAACCCTAAGACAAAGATGAGGTAATGAAGAAATGAAGCAAAAGTTTGCGAAATACCTGAAGCCATCAAACAACATATCTACAAACCAGTCATCGTCGTCATACAAATTCATTATCTAGAAAAGTTAACATATAGATCAGAAAAACTATCAAAGCTGATGAGAGTAGGTACATGAGAGTTGATGAGAGTTTCCTGGACCGCTCAAAGTGCGTGAAACCAGCAAAAACGCCCATGAACTCTCGTCTTAATTTGAAGCTTAAAATTGATGAGAATATAGATAAACTTAAAGTTGATGAGAATTGCCAAGGGGCAAGAGTTGCAACTCTCGTCTTGGTTTGACCCACACTTGCTCACAAATGTTGCCGGATTCTTACCGCGTGATCAAGATGTTTCTTCATAGTCATGTAACGTGGACTGACTTCCGTTCTTAAGTTATCCGACCACAGCTTCTCAGGATAACTCAATACTACCAAATATGTCATGATATCTGTAGAAAGTAATTATAAGAAGTGATTGAGCTGTATAGCGTAACCAGTAGGAGTTGCCGGATCATGCAGCGCTCCAACAGAAATACAGAGTCCAGTTGTCCAGCTCGAACTGCATGTTGATGAAAATATACAAAATTCCTGGCAGAGGGCTGTAGTTGCAATTTTAGCAACTGCTACTCTAAAGGCCTGATTCCACGGGCGCTTTCTTCGGCGAAATTCAAAAAAATTCGCGCGAAATGAATTAGGTGCATGCGCATTAAAGATAAATTAGTCTTGGCGAGAAAATTTTTTTTGCTTCACCAGTGAGTAGAAGTCAGTTCTAAAATTCACAGCATGACATTTTGAATTTTTGCGGTACATTTTGAATTTATCATAATGATAAATTCGCTGCATCTAACCCCCAACCCTAACCCCTAACCCTAACTTTTTAAACTTTTTTTGAAAATCTAACTTTTTAAACTTTTTTTTCTTTTTTAAAACTTTTTTAAAACTTAGTTCTATCGAGTGAGACGCCCAAAATTCTGTTCACCTTTTAGCCTTTTCTTACAAATAAATCCAAACGTTTCTTGACAAGCTTTATACATCCATCCTTCCGTTGCTATTGACAACGTGGCGCATTTCCTACCCTCGATGACGTCATCTTGATACGAGTTCCAATTAGAATATGGCATCGGGTTGCCATCGACCCAGATCAGGTCCTTGTTGTCTAGATGGACGCGATCACTAAGCCCGATCCAGGCCTCTGTCCCCTCGTCTTTGGCAAGCATACTTCGTACCGAGGTTTCCTCCTCCGGACTCCCGAGTGATGCGAGGGAACTGTGTTCATCATCGCATAAATTCACTGCTTCTGCCCATTTCACGTCGTTGTTGAAAAATCTGAAATATACAACAGTATAATTAGTTGGTGGTCGGATGCTTGGTTCATAGTCTGTCAAGACTATCATGTCTGGAAGGCAAACTTCAAAGCCACAAAATAGAAGAGCTTTAATTGATGTTGAACTGTGCCTCACCATGCACAAATTCTTTGTCTATTAAGAACTTATTAAGAATCGATAATTATTCTTTTACCTGTAACAACTCTTCTTGAATTTATGCCAGCCTGTAGGACATGAATCTGTAATGTATAACAACAAGAGTTATTTGTAAAATCAAGTGTCATACTTTCTACAAATGCATTTGATCTCTTTACCTGCGCCACGCTTTCCTGCTCCAGTACCTAGAAGAATGAACAATTTTAAAAAGTAGGAAGAGCAAAATGTTATAGATTGATTGTTTTCATTAAAACACCATCGGCAGACGATGTTCATTTGATGATGGTCATATTATTTGTGTGATGGGTTTTGTCCATACAAAGGATTGTGCAGTGGATTGGACGTAGGAAAATGTCCGTACTTTTCTGAGGGTTGTCCATATTACAATACAATTTAATTCAATGCAATACAATAGCGTAGTCAATATACCGCGTAAGTCCAAAGACTTATCTTCCCCAGGGTCGCATTAGAGAGCTGTCTGTATTAACTGAGAGATGTCTTTGTCAAAGAGGCGTCTGTGTTAGAGGAGTCTGTATTAGAGAGATGTCTGTATTAGAGAGGAGTCTGTATTAGAGAGGAGTCTGTATTAGAGAGGAGTCTGTATTAGAGAGGAGTCTGTATTAGAGAGGAGTCTGTATTAGAGAGGAGTGTGTATTAGAGAGGAGTGTGTATTAGAGAGGGGTCTGTATTAGAGAGGTGCCTGTATTAGAGAACTATCCGTATTAGAGAGGTGGAGAGGGGTTTGTATTAGAGAGGTGTCTGTATCAGAGAGGGGTCTGTATTAGCGAGGTGTCTGTATTAGAGAGGTGTGTATATTAGAGAGGTTACCCCTTACCTGTAACTGGTAAAACATTCTCTGTGACTTTGTTCTTGATATTTCCTCTAGGACTAAACAAAGCTGCGACATATGATTTCAAACCTGACTTGTTTTCAGCGATACCAACACCAATCTAAAGATGAAGACCAAGGTTAGAAATACGTTAAGCTTTTTCTTAACTATTACTAAACCATCTTTATTCACACTGGATTACTGTATCAGGTCATTATTATTGATCCAGTATTACTAACTTTATAATTTACTGGATAGTTCTATCAGTTCTAAACTTTTCTCCTTAGAGGTCCAGTAAGGATCATGTCTTATTGATCCAGTGTTACTACAGGAGAAAAACTAACTTTATTTATACTGGATAGCTATATAAGTTCTAAACTGTTTTCGCCAGAGGTCCAGTAAGAATCATCTCTTATTTATCTAATGTTACAACAGAAAGAAACCTAAACTAAACTAACTTTATTTATACTGGATAGCTCTATCAGTTCTAAACTGTTCTTCCTAGAGGTCCAGTAAGGATCATCTCTTATTGATCCAGTGTTACTACAGGAGGAAACCTAAACTAAACT